GATAAATAAGGTCTTTCATCCCCTAGCTGAAGCAAGCAAGCAAGCAAGTTGAATTCATTCACTTCCTATCTAAAGGATCCACTTATTTCCTATTTAGGAAGTAAATGTTTGCTTCCCTTTGACAAGTTTGTCAATTGTATTGATCTTATATTATTATTATTATTATGATTATTTTGATCTAGTTTCCTGATTGGGACTAGTATCACGTGACCAAGATAGAGACTCCTGTAAAAGGCTTTTGCAGGATCCTCTTATTATCTGATTGGCCTAGCCCCGCTAGACCGCCTTCCTATTTTGGACTAGCGTCCCTGGGCCAATCCAACAGGATTAATTCTGTATCCTGAATATGTATGAAAAGCATATTTTTATTTTTTTATAGGTGTTCTATTATTTTATTATCTATTTTTCTTCATAGAGTTAGATTAATTATATTCGCGTATATTCCGAAGTCCTTCTGTAAGAGGATTACAGATAGAAGGCTGTATGCGAGGTCTGGTTAGTAAAATATCTTAATTTTAATCTTGTAGTATTTATTATTTACAGATAAGATTAAGATTTGGTAGCCAGCTGATCTAGTAATACTAATTCCTCTGTCAGATATTCTGTATTTATAGAAGTTGGAGACATCTAGATCATGGTAGTAGTCTAGCGAGGTATGGTCAGGTATGATATGTTAGAAACTGCTTGTATCATAGATCCAGTGTAGTAAGTAGTTAGTGGTACTTCTAACTGCTATTCTAGAGAAGTTTAAAAAATGCATATTTTTATTATCTGACCCTGTTTTATGCAGGGTAATATATTAAGCAGGTATTTCTATTATCTGTTTTACAGGTATAGATTCTACTGCTTTAAAGTTATTTTTTGAATTTGAATTTAATTTTCCTTCTTTGTATTAGTTATTCCAAATCTTAAAGAACCAGATATCTAGAATACATGGTTACCATGATCTTGAGTATGAGATTATATTAATATACTAATACTTTATTCAGCTGTGGTCAGGGTATCTGCAGTAGCTACAGGCTTTATTAATATACTTAGATATTATTTCTCTCATTCTAGTAGCATGCTCTTTATAAGAAATATCTTTTATAGGATATATAGCTTTCTTCTACTCTTTTTTAGTGCTTTTTAGCTTTTGTAATAAGTTTTAATCTTTTTATATAGTAGCTGCCATTCCTACCCTGCTGAATTTATTATACTGTTCTCTCGTGTTCCGGCAGACAGTATAGAAATTATTATTACTATATACAGTATCCGTGTTCTCTAGTATTTTACTCTCCATGTAGATGATCCATGCAGGTATATTACTCTGTATCTCCTGAAGGAGTAAGAGTATGGCTATAAAGACAGGTATTCTGTATTATAAGATCTTGGTGAGGGTGTAGTTTGCTCAGAAGTTATTAATATATTTAACTACTATAATATACTTAGATCTTCTTGATTTAACAAGATTATATATAATACTTTGGCGAAGCACAATACCATCTCCTAGAATAATTCTTTGAAGTGCTTTATATATATCATCCACCAGTTCTTTTACATTAGCAGAGTCTGCAAACAGATCTAGTATTTTATCTGATATGTTTTAAGTTAACCATGACTGTGTAACTATTAAATAAATGTATTAAGTCTTATATTTTTCATGGTTTTTAGCAGGTCTAGCCAGATCCTTGTTAATCAGGTCTAGTAGGCTGATATTCTTGAGTATTTAATATACTTGAAAGTCCCATTTTACCTAATTTACATGTTCTTCCAGTAAGATCAGCAGCCCTGGGATACTATCAGGCATCTGCTTGGAAAATTTATCTGCCTGTAAGATAGTCTTGATAACTGTTTCTTCCTCTAGAGAGAGATTTTTAAACAAGATTCTGTGTCTAACTTCATGTGCCATACTGGCTATTCAATATACTTAGCACGAGCGAGTAGACGAATAGGTAAAGTGCGCTTCTTGGCGCGAATATATAATTCTATTAGACCTGTTAGGCTTGCTAAGACTAGTATTCCATAGAATATCTTGTCTAGCAGCAATGGCTGGCCGTAGTAAGACCTGAATAGCTTCACAGTGTAGAGACCGGGCTCATAACCTCTTGAGAAGCACTTTACAGAAGCAGCAATGAAAGCAATAATGAAATGAACGAACGGAAGCAAAAGAGTAAGTTAAATTAAGCTATCTAGGAGAGCAAAACAAAGCAACGCGAAGAGGTGCTTTGTGAGCGGTCCGAGCGCAGCACGTGACTAGCCTACATGAATGCCTCGACATATTGTATATTATTCCCGATTTCTACATAGAACAGGATTTTCATTGCTCCGAGGTGGTGAACAGAGCCAATCTGGGTTCGGCGGCCGATTCCTTGAACAAGGCCCTGTCCACTTGTAAACGATGCTTGTGTCATCCCTCTCATGAGCTACGAAACAAAGATTCTCAATGCCAGTCATTTTCATAGTTTCATGATTCTACTTAGCGTGGGCTAACGTACAGATGAGAGAAAAGCATCAATTATTGTCTTAGCACTTGGCCGTTCGGCTGAATATCAACCAGATTCGCAATTTTCCTCTCCCCCTACCTGCCAACGCACCGACCGAACAGAATCTTATCCCGCAGCCAATTAAATAGCGAACACGTCGTCCCCGGTCCGAGGAGGGGAGATGACCCAGGCGAATCGAGAAGGAACCACGACCACCGGAATGCTCCCTGGAGCTCGAGAGCTACGGCAACCAACATCAAAAATTAAGCGATCAACTCTTCCAACAATAGAAATCACTCGACCCCGACGCCGGGAGTATAAGCCGGAGATAGAGATAGCGGGGACAGGAAGATGGCTGACGGGTGCAGCTCTGCGGGTTAGGCCCGCGTGAAGATAGAGGGGAACATTACTGCAGAGAGCGAGACGCCTAGAATAGATAAATGGAAGGCGACGCTTATGATGAGGGCGGGGAGGTTGGCGGCACGAATGGCGTGTAGCTGCGCTTTGAGCCCGTCGTCGCTATTGCAGGAGAGAATATGGGGCAGAGGATATAGAGAATGAAGAACACGAGGAAGGGATACATGTTCCAGGCGCCGACGCTGGTTTGGTGCAATGTGCTCCCAGGGTTGGAGGAGAAGGCTCCCATCAGTGTCGCGGGGAGGAGATAGCCGACGGCGATGGCGGGTAGGAGCAGTTGTTTGATCAGCGCCGGCGAAGCTGCCCTGATTGCGACCCAGCTTTCACCCGAACAGCGCCTACCTCCTTTACAAATATTATTCTTGCTAGTTTTCAATTTGATATGCGACTCAGTCAGTCTTAAAATAACATCACGAAGATTAATGTTCGTATATTGAATATCCTACATTTGTTTGAGGATGGATGATACAGCAGCCATATAGAAACCCATTAACCCGCCCAGCTAGATCAAAGATATACACCAGCCCCTGAGCTGCATATACCAGATTAAGATTTTATCAGGAGTCTAGCGAGTACTAAGTTTGTTTTCTTCAAGTGACTGGCATTAACTCGCTAAAAAAAATACGAAAGGGGCTTGTTGAATATCTTTTGAAGTAGACCTCCGAGCAGCTATACCCCTCTGTTCATAAATCGATTTCCAGTCATACTTCGAAGCCTGATACGATGATTATTATGGTAAGCTATACTAGTTGCAATCGTCCGAAGGTACTTATAGGCAGTATTGTTGGTTCTAGTATGAAATCAAAAATGCAACAAACAAGCCTCTCGTGCTAGATTAGACTTGATCTGAAGATTTAATTAACTTTTCGGGCTAGGACCTAATATCTGCTGATATTCATTTTGGTCCACGCTTTCCTCGCCCACTCTTCGTTTCACCAGGACTGCTTTATATGAGAGTAACGAGCCCATTTTGGTGAGTCGACTACTCGGTCACTCTACTTCAAATCTCCGTGCACTCGCGTTCAGAAGCACTGCATTGACAGAAGTCTTTCACAAAAATATCTGCCAGGTTGGCTGGCATCCAGGTGACACCGACTTCTGGGGTATCCTCGGTGGTATTGTAGTGATAGACGAGGCAGGGCGAGGAGAGATAGTTGTTGATCTTGGGCTCAGACGAGGTCTCAACGGTAAAGACAGGGAGATTGAAGAAGCAAGTAGGAAGTGAAGAGGTGGCCTCAAGGACATCCAATTCTACTGTGCCGGCGTAGGTGCCGGTGGTGTTCTGACAGGTGTAGGCATTGTCGTAGAGAGTGGTGAGGTCGACTCCGTAGGTGTCGGTAAGCTTGGTGAGGTCGGAACTGCTGATTGTTTCCGTCATTATTTGCTTGGTGAGCTCCCAGCCAGCTCCTGGATACTGCAGAGTGTAGCAGTAATCTCCGATGACAGTACCGCTTGTTACTGATGCGCAGTCGCCCGTCGAGTACGCGCCCTTGAGGATATAGTAGTTGGCTGAGACTAGAGCAGACCCTACTAGATACTCTTGAAGCCTTGCGTTGAAAGTAGTCTCAATCGCAGTCGTCTGCGTCCCTGTGAGTTTGAACATGTACCGCCCATCAAAGAAGTTGGCCACCTCTGAGTTATAGTCACCCTCGCGCAAGTCCGCCGGCCAACTGGAGATGTTACCGTTCTGGAAAATTTCCTCCAGTATCGTCATCGCCGCCGATACCATCGCCGTAAAAACCGTGCTGACTTGTGTAAGCAGCTCTTGGCTCTCCTGTGCGGTCGAATCGCTGTCCGAGATGTCGCCCCCAGCCGTGGAGAAAAGCCCACTGAGCGTGCCTATAACACTTGATGCTGTATCCGTTTCCGCATCTAATAGGGGAATCGTGCTCCCCAGGATTCCTAACACTCCACCTACGTTGGTGAACACAGTACTGACGGAGGGCACTGTTGCTCCAGATTTCACAGGAAAGTCGGTAGCTATTGACCCCACAGCGTTGGACTGGTTGAATGTCGCGAAGTCGAAAAGCGCCCCGAATTCCACCACATACTCGAAGAAATTTGCCACTACCCATTCAGCCCAGAACTCTGGAGTGCTGCTGTAACTGGTGCAGTCGGTAGGATAGTCACAAGGGCCGTCCGGATAGACGTCACATGAGGTGGTTACCCCGGAGCTATAGAACATGGTGTTCGCCCATTCGTAGCCTGCTTGGTGAGGTTCATTTAGTCATCATTGTCATCTTGCAGGATGAACTTGGAGTTAGGAATGAATGACATACTGCTTGTGGACGTCTCCTCCAGGAGCCAGTCAATGTATGCGGCCACTCCGCGTTCTTCACTTGCCTGCGCCGCGGTCTCGTCCGAGGAGGGAAGATCACACGTTCCATTTCCGGAGAAGACGGTGTTGATCTTGGAATCCTTCTCGAGGAAGTAAGACTCAAATGCGTCGAGGTCGGTCGGATCCGTGACAAATTCCTCCAGGTCAATTGCCCACTCAGTCGTGCCACCCATGTTCAGCCCCTGGTAGTACGTGGTACGCGTGCTTTTTGTTGTGTTAGTCATGTAACCTACCCACTGGGTTTCATTGTAGACAATGATATCAGAATCACTTCCAGCATCAAACAGCACCTCCACCGTTGGGTTAGACGCGATGATTTCATTTATCTCCGCGTTGGAAATGTAACCAGCTGTTTGGGTACAGCGCCCGGGGGTAGCTCCGAGTCAGGTCCTACATAGGTACAATCCGGACCAGTGCAGTTTGCAGTAGTCATCTCGAAGGAACGTCCGTAGCTGGCTACACCGACCATCAGCTTATTTGTGTCCATACCAGCTTTAGTGACCATTGACAGGGCGTAACCAGTCTCTGTCAGATTAACATGCGAGCGGAGACAGTTACCGTCCTCACATCCATCATCTGAGGAGGTATTTCCGTAGTCCCACTGGCCATGTAGATCATAGGTCATGAATACCACAAAATCCACAACAGAATTGATTTTGGAGACTGGGAAACCCTTCAAGTACCAATAGGAGGCGGGCATAGCTATAGAAAGCGTTTTAGAGGTACCAATGGCTGATCGAACCTCTTTCAGGAATGCCACGTAGTTCGTGCCATCATCGCTGTTACCGGCAGGGATTCCCGGAATATCAGGCTCACCAGGATACTCCCAGTCAAAATCAACTCCATCCAGGTCATACTGCGAGACAAAATCGCTGATACTTTTGGCTAGTGTTGCACGGTTGTTGGCAGTAACCCCTTCACGGAAGATTGTATATGTATCAGTATCTGTCGAGAAAGTCCAGCCGCCAAAAGAGACAATTTTCTTGACATTGGTGAGATTCAAAAATTGTTCAAATTGGGTTGTTTCATTGATGGTAATCGAATAATCCGCATTGATAGTGCCAAACGCGTAGATAACATGAGTGTATTTGCTGGTGTCAATCATGTAGGCATTCATTTTCAGACAAGTACGTTCCACATTGAAGGCTTCAAAATATCCAATAGAGAAAAACTCATCCGGAGCAGTAGAATTGTTGATAATATCTGTCCCGCAGTTTGAGATGCATCCATTGGTATTAGCTTCGGCTGTACCTGGATTTCCTGTCGTCGATTCGGTAATGGTACAAAATTCTGGCGTAGTACCACATTGCCCCCAAACATCACAGCATGCATTAAGGGTACATGGGTTCAAAGTTGCCCACTCGCTATAGTCTGTTCCGTTGGCTGTCGTTCCGGGGACCTGAGGACCGCACGTCGTCCCTGTTACTGGAGCTGGGAAAGGCGGATCCCCACTACTCCGACAGATATTCTCACCAGCTTGGAGATCATCACAGCCCAACCATCCCCATGTATGGTTGTTATATGATTCAATGTCGTCGAGGCTCAGACTATAAGCGGCAGCAATACTGGAGCATGAGTCACCGGATTCCACGAGGTACGTATAACAAGTGCCATTGCTGTAGGGGGAGAGGTCAGGCAGGTCGCCTGAGCTGCAGCATACATATTGACCAACAGCAAGGGTAGAACACAGATCAGAGGCTGTGTTATACTCGTAGAACTCGGTGGACGTGATTCCGCACTCTGTGACCAATGTCGCACACGAGTCCCCAGACACCACTTGGACGGTGGAACAGCTATCTGCACGGGACTGCAGGGTTCCAGAAAGAGATCGAGCAGCAACAGTGCCATCATCCTTATCGGAAGTAGACACGGTTATTAGCGTGGTCGGTACAGTGGTCCGGGATCCAAAGCCGGACACACAATCGCCATTGGTCCATGTTTTCACCAGCTCCTGGACAGCAGAAAGATCGCCATTTGTGTTCACAGCCACACCAGCCACGTAGTTGGCTGTAGAGCCACAGTATTGCATTGCCATCTGCTCTAACACGCCGTGGGTACTGACTTGGTCGAGCATTTCTTGAATTATGTTCGTAGCGGTGGTAGAAGAATCCAGGCGACCCCCAATATAGATACCAACGGCGGTGTTTCCGGACAAACCAAACAAACTATTCTTCTGGTGACCTGCCACCATATAGGTTTCAATATCCGCAAGTGCCCCAGAGAGTTGGCTGTCAGCTGGTTTAGAGGCCAACCCCCACGCCCCGAACTCCAGATCAACGGACAACCTGGTGACATTTCCACCTCCCTCAGACCGTCTACTCAGAGTTGAGTTTGTGCTACTGTCGGTAGTACAAGCGTAGATTGTGGAATGGGTCTGAGACCCATTCAGAGGATTGAAGATAGCAAAGTCAAGAAGCATGGGCTCATCACAGGCTGCAACACGACTAGTGGAATGATATGTCATCCAATTGAATGGGTCATCACTGGCACTGCAGGCATCGGGGCAGGGATTTGTACCACCCCGTTGCGCTGCTGCAACACCTGCAAGGGTGGCCGCTCCCAGGATGGCGCGAAGATACATGACGAAGATTAATTGATGGAAAAAGAAGGTTTGATCAAATCAGACACATGATCATGATTGGGTATAGACAGATGTGATAGAAGATCAATGAAAGAAGGAAGGAAAACTTTAATGAGAGACTAAAATGATGAACGGTTTGGAAAAGAGTGACCGATCACAGGGATCAAAATGCACAAGGAAAAGGTAGTTGGGAAAGATGAACGCTGCATGTCAAGACTGAGCAGACGATTTGGCTGTCTTATATAGACAGAATCTTCCGGGCCATGCAGCAGAATTCTCCGTGAAAGTACGTATGTGGTTCGTACACTTCATGCACTCCATGTCCTCAAGTATCAAAATTACGACTAAATTCAATAGTCAAACTCACTATGTTTAGCTCCGTGAAGTAAATTAGCCTGGTACCAGATAATACGAGAGTCACATCCAAATCCGAATTCAGGTTCATCTCAACAAGAGCCTACCTTCCATGCTCGACCAGCTCAGCCAATTATTCGCAACTGTGCTGTCAGATTAATCGGCGTCCGAATAGGCACCATAGAGAACCTCGAAATGGAGATGTGTACGTAGTTCACGACTCTGTACTTCAACCTACTCACAGGCAGATTTGGTTTCAAGAAGAGTTGCTGCAGAATAACTACCTAATGGCTCGCTTGGAAGTCATCTCTGGTGTCCTGGAAAGGAAATCAAGGCCGAAATCGTTAGTTGACCAAAGGATCGGGGTTACGTAAATCTTCCGCGAGTCAAATCCGATCGGAGGGAGGCGGCTACGGCGGCCAGCTTTGTCGGCCGATTGGCCGAGCCTCAAAAAGTTCCCCTTTCATAAGCACCCTTTTCTATCTTCAGACGATTGAAAGACTTCAACTCCGAGACCCTCGGACCCTGAGACCCTGATCAACAGGGCTCAATTCCCTTCACAAATAACACCCCCTTGGACCTCAATTAGCACATCTATGAAGACAAAAAACACCTCTATACAACGCCATCTGCCTCACTGAGACCTGGCAATCCCAACGTTAAATGTCTCAGATTGACTTTGGAACGGCTACAACAAGCTTCGCTAAGCCGAACTCTTCAGTTCGCAGTGGGGCCCACATGAAACTACCCGAACGACTAATTCCTTTTTTCCCCTGTATCTTTCATCTTACCTAGGGGATACTAGTGAAAGGCTAGTAACTTAGCACCCCTAATGATACCGTGCACTATGCCAGAATAGTATCTGGGAAATGATTATAAAGTATTCACGGGGTCATGGGCGCAGAGATTTCGCTATCCGTCCTCCTCAGAGTCTTTCCACTTTGTTTGCTATGCCCCAGAGTCACTTTTCCTGTCTCCTCATATCTCCTCGCGTTCCTGTTTACTCTTGATCCCACGATGGATTTCATTCCTTGTTCGTTCGATGCTTTCATTGACAATTTCTTGGCGTGCTACCGACCCTGCTACTCGGACTATCTCCAGCAGTTGGTCACCAACGGGACCTGTGGTGCTAACTACACTACCCTGGCCGCCAGCACCGACCGCTCCGATCTCAAGTGCATCTGCGAGAACGCAAACGGGGTCTCCAATAATTGGACGTCGCAGGTTCTGGAGTGCACGCGCTCCTCGTGTAACGGAACATTCAACTACACCCGGTGGGCAGACAGCATGTGGAGCTACGATAACATGTGCTATTACGCTTCAGGTATTTACTTCCCAAGAGTTCTAACTCTCTTACCATCTTGTTCTTCGTCCCTCCATCTCCATATCTCTTCTCTTGATACTGGTGGTGAGCAGTAGCTGACATAGAAGCGAAGGCACGGCGGGCTACAAAACATGCTCCTCCTCAGCGGCATCCAAGACAGCATCCACCGCTGGGCTGGTGATTGGACTATTAGCGTTGAGCCAAGTATTTTTTCTTTGAGGTCGTATGAAATAAATGCAGTGACCTGGTTTACTAGCTACTTTGTAACCAGGGAGGAGAGTTGGCCTGCAGAAGGGCACTGTACAAGCTGGGATCTTAAAGAATATTCATTTCCTTTCGGAAAACCTCCGGTCGCTTTCATATGCTCAACACCACTCCTAGACCCTTTTTGGGAGGTAGTATACACCAGTCCATTCAGACGCTTCATCTAACATAGGTCGGCTCCGACAGATTCCAACGCCTTACCCTTTCCTGCTATTGCGGAAATGTTGGGTGGCCCGCTGCTACCTCTGGTTGGTAGCCGCTAGTAAGTCAGGAAAACATGGTTCGCTGTCTGGAGTACTGCCTAGGGGGGAAAACAGAAAGGTGATATAGACTAGGAGCAATACACAGTTTCCAATCATGGGAGAGAGGCTTCCAGTGTCGCCTAGCTGTGGGTGTGCAGCTATAGAGAAAATTCAAAAGTCCGTACAGGAGGTCGGTTGACGCTCAAGATACGATGCAGAGTAAGCCCTATAACAAACTCTATTTGTCGCGTGGAAGTCCGACCTGTCGGATGGCGCGAAAAAGGGGTCGGAAAACATAAGATCGGAGTGGAACCGAGCCCTATCGATCTTGCCTGACACCTGACTAGATAAGATCAAACTGGTGGAGAACCCATGGACGAACTGGCCGGTATCGCTCGTCACGGGAATACAGTTCGGCAACGCCGGTAAGAAACAAAGTATAGTCTGCATTTATGCCTTAAACCGGAACATCACGGTCCCTTAAGCATACAGTGCAGGGCTGTCAAGCTGGGAATGTCTTCCACTGGTCCCCTCGTTCCTATGTCGGAAAGAGCCGGAGATTGTTGTTTTGTCTGTATTTCAGTAGTAGGACACAGGGGTTCAGGCCTATCCCGTGACTCATTGGTCACAGCAGGTCAAGGACTCCTCTGTTGACTACTTTCGTTCTGGTCATATGCCCTAGATGACAGATGAGTTCTATTTCGAGTCGATTGTAACGTAGGCGTACGCTCCCTCCCCCCACCCCCTCGGTATCCTGCTCTGATCATGATGATAGTGCCATATTTACCCTCGTCTCACTGAAGACTACAACAAATTCCTTGATGAAATAATCAAGGGTGGTAAATTTTCACTCCTTCTATCACAGTGACGGGATTGAATGTCTTTATTCGAAGACAGATTGTACCAGGTATTTCGTGGCCCCTGAGCTTTGACTCGTGATGACAGTAAAAGGGGTGAGCCGGCTGAACCATCTGTTCTTTCTTATGACACGGGCCACTTCTCTATAATTGGAGTAAAATTCTGAACAAATAAATGCTGCTCTTCAGTCTGAACAAGGCGTCACGCGTCACGGGCCATGTGCTCGCGGATTTAGCAGTCTTTATTGGCGACTCTGCCACAACATCGCATGAGTAATTAGACTTGGGTCTAACTCTGGCATTATGATAATCCACAGCTGCTGGACTTGAAATCTCCGGGACTGGATCATCTGGAGACCATATGCCTGCCACAAGAAGCTAGTTACGGGCCACTATGGGCAAAGTAAGCACTCTAAGCCCTCGTCACCCGCCCTATCTTCCCCAACGAGTGTATATATTTGTTAACGTTTAGTCAGTTAACATCAGGGTGGTTAATGCATGTGACGTGGAGCTGTGGCAGACTAATGTCGTTTTTCCAAATTTTTAAAGGTAGTTACATCTATGAAGACAAAACCTAGCGTAGGCTTCTTCAAGCACAACTATCCTATTGACCGGTACGTATCCAACCCCTTCATTAGGACACTGTGACTGGTGAGGGTCATCGGTAGGCCTGCTGCAAAGCTTGCTGGAACAAATGTTATCCTTCTCAATTAGTTTGTTAACTATATTCTTCTACATGTGACCTCTTCTGCTAGGTGGTATTGTTTCTCTGCCTGGTACAAACCCATGGACACATTTTACAAGTCTTATCCCAAGAGGGAGGCGGATCTATTATAAGCATATTATATGCGATTGTCCGTCACTCATATGAGGCCGGTGTGCTCAGTAAAGATAGTGAGGGGCTGGGCAAAGCTATGGTCGGTATCAATGTTAGTCAGACAATGTTCACCAGCTGGCTAAGCGTGTCTGGCAAGTGAGTTCTCCATTGTCGGCATGGAAGATGTTTGTCGGCGAGTGTCGCCCATTGAGACTTTATTCTTTCTTGTTTTTCGATAACTTCATGATGTTATTGGAGGTCTTATTCCTCACTTCCGTACGGGACTATTGGCAATAGGCTTGTGCTTTGTATTTGCTTATCGGTGGATTTGTATCTGTCTCGAGAGGAGGGGGGAAGAAAATCAGGCAAATTCAAAAAGAAAAGAAAAGAAAAAAAAATACAATTACAAGAATGACAATAAAATTAAAGGGGGAGAGAGAATAACAAATATCTATCGAACCAGCACTGATGGGAAAGAAGATCAGATACTGAATAGATGAAGCATTGAAAGTACGTTTGTGAGATGCTCGCATATGTTGTACAAGTCACCATTCATGTCTGTCATCATGTACTGAGTTGGGCGTCTAGCTTTGTCTAGGCGAATCAGAGTAAGTGGGTATGAATATTGGTCGGCGACCAAGCTGCGAGTTGAGGACCGACAGTCCACGCATGTCAATCAACAACCCGAAAGCCCGCATGGATCCCTTTAGCCCACTGGGGGCCTGTCCTCTTGCAGGGAAGCTTTTTCCAGCTAGGGCTACTTTGATACGTACATACGAAGTGAGGCTGTAGATAACCTTTCCTGATTGAAAAGTGAGAAGTGCTTGATCTCTCTTGGGACTACTGAAGCTGCTTTTCTGTGATTTGGAATTATGGGATCTAACCAATCACAACCCTGAACCGATTCAACCCGAGCCAGCTCTTTGTTGTGGTGTGATTTATTTCGGGATCAGGTTCCCGCGTGTCTACACTCTACAGTATCGCGACATGCATGAAAGGCGTATGCGTGTCTACGACCACTGCTTACTAACCACGTAGTGATCAGTCGCTCATGATTAGGAGGATAACATACGAGGATGCTATAATATAGGAAAATGTCCGGCCTTTTCTACACATTTCTGTATGCTGCACATATAAGAGATGTATTCGAAACCTTCATATTATACGGATTACCTCTTCCACCAGTTCATTCATTCATACGCCCACCTTCAGAATGTACGAAAGCATGGTCAGTGGTAAGCTCCGGATCTCCGATGCTGCACGAACCCTCATGTTCATAGCCTTACAGAGGTCAATCCTTTCGCAGCCTTGTCAGTGTGTGCCCAAGGCTGAAAAGGTCGACGCGCAGATCTTCTAGGGAGGGGTCACTATTCTTTAAATGAGACACCAACGAATGATTGGTCCATGTTGAGGGGTTAGAGCTGATTAGGAGATAGACAGTGCAGCTGAGGTTGGAATAGGGCCGAAGGTGGGGAGTAGTTGACGTGTTCCATTCTATGCGCAAACTTCAGGCCCGACCCGTTCGCCGATCAAATGGTCCCCGATCGAATCATCACACAGCGGTTCTCGCGCAGATAAGCAGGACTACTTCATAGAGCTGCATCTGAAAGCCCCTCTCATGAAGATCATCACCCAAAAGAGATCTTAACATTGACACCGATGGCTTCGAACGAGATGCTTTCATCAACTACAAAGGCACCAAGGGTCTCCGAATTAAGAGTCTCTGGTGGTTTCATGGATGAGGTACAATCAAATCTCACTCTTGTAACCACACACCATGCTCAGAATGTTGCCTTTGACTAGGATTCATCTTCTCTATCTTCTTCTACTTCTAGCGTCCAGCGTCCAAGCATTCAACACGATCCACACAAATTGCACACTCCCCCCGCAACACGCCAACTTTGTGACAGCCCCGAATACCCTTGGCACCTTGCAAATCCTATGGTCATCCCTGTTCACTATCCTCGCCTGCACTTGGACTGTGCTTCATCTCAACGTTCCTGGGTATAAACAAAAACCGAAGGAAGGGGGCATTACAGGCTGGCTGAAATGGATGGTGATCAAGTATCGTCATCCAACCAAATGGTTTCTCCTTACTGTGCTTGCCCCAGAAGTTCCTTTTGCAAAATATTGGGATGACCAGGTTCAAGCACATTCCCTGTTCTATCACTATGAAGACATTTTTGAGGATAAGCACTGGACGAAGACCCATGTCCTGTTTGCCAATATGGGAGGCTTTGCGGTGAAATATAAGGAGAAGCGTGAATCTTATTCGACCGGCGAGAAAATGAGTGCGGGAGATCTATATAACAGCCCAGCCGAAACAAGACCTGCCTTGGAAAATAATACATTCCTACCGGGGGGTTCGGGAAGATTGAATCAGTCAACTCCGGGGCCCGCCAGCAAGGATCCCGCGGGAAAGTTCGATAAAGTATTCTATCTGACAGCCACCGAAGCCCTGAAACTCCTCTGCAAAGACCAAGGAACACCTATACCAGGGCTAGATAATACATCAGTGGAGGAGATCAACGATCGTTCGAAAACGGACATCTTTATGCGCCTCCTTGCTGTGGGTCAAATCCTTTGGGTGGTTGTTCAGATCATTTCGCGAGGGGTTTACGGCCTGACCGTGACCCAACTGGAGGTCACTGTTGTTGCATTCGCGTTCTGTGCAGTGGGAACGTATATTGTCGGCGCACTAACCGCTAGACCAAAAACGATATATCGCGTCTAGTCAGACTAGCGACGGAGAGATTACTGTCCCAACATATATCGTCAACCGTGGAAAGCCCAAGGGGGTAAACTGTCCGATCCTCTTCGAATATTCTGGGACGAGGAAAGATTTAGAAGGGGAACTATCAAGGTCCAAGATTCCGACCTCTACAAAGATACACAACAAGTGGGCGTTCTATCAATGCAAGTACTGCAAGATGGAGAAAACCAGCAGCAGCAGCGACAGCAGCGAGAACAGTGGCAACAACGAGAATTGCGATAACTACGAAGAAAATACCAGCAGAGGCACAAATGAGAGGATTGAAAGCAACAAGACAGAGCCCCAAAATAATAGTGAGAAGATGCGCCCAAAGGTGCTTATTACTGCTGCCATACGAGGAGTTCGAGAATGTCTTGGGTCTCCTCGGACTTCGGGCGATGCAATAGAAAATGGATTCATTGACGAATCAGAAGACTCAAAAAGATCCTGTGAATTGCTCACTGACATGTCGATGTTCATCAGCAGTATGGTTTTCGGGGGAATTCATCTTATTGCCTGGGGTTTTCAATTCCCCACCATAGTGGAGAAATATCTGTGGTGGGCAGCAGCATTGTGGTGTACCTTTTGTGTTCTAGCGTGCACACTGCTTTGTTTCATGTTCGTCGGACTCGAAAAGGTTATCGTCGCCTTGAATTAATGGCTTAATTATGTCCTCTCCTCAACCCCCGAGAATACCAACTCTAGCGACCCAGCTGAATCAGCCCCGAAGGTCTCAAACACGAGTCTTAAGCAAGACTCATCAAACATCAACGCAGATCTCGATGCAAAATCCAGTCCCGGTTCGAGTAAACGCTCAAGTCCAGAGACCCAATTGTCGGCGCCCCTATCTGAGAATCAAGCATCAAACAGGGATGAGGAATCACAAGAATCACGCACACAGCCTAACCGACCAGTGAAGAAGGCTATTGTGGGTTTCGTGGTGGTTCTCTCTAGTCTCATGGTATTTCTTTCGAGTCTGGTGGTAGGCCTTTCTGGCCTGCTCTTCATTCTTGTCTGGTATATCCTTTGCATATCATTGCTTATATGCGGGATTGCAGGTGTGCTTGCCTATATTGTGGCGAGATTGTTTATTGTTGTTGAAATGTTTAGGACATTGGCCTTTCTTCCGCAGGACGCTTATGTTGCTACTTGGTCATCGGAAATTCCTAATATTGGTTAAGTGTTATATGGTACTTGAGCTGAGTACTTATATATTATCTATACTCCATCTTTGACAGTAGTAGGAAATAGCGAAGGTTGGAATTATACCATTACATACCCCAGCCCTTTCCTCCATTCTCCTGATACATGGCGTATATCTGGCTGTAAAGACATGAATACTAGTATCTTTTACATTTCTCGTTCCACGTACTCCAACATCTCGTCAAAAGCTTACATTAAGTTTAGAAGGCCAAGTTAATTTATTGAAACAGGACTCGAAAAGAAAGCTAGACTGAACATCAAAGCCCAATGAAGCGAGACTATAAGTATCACACGACCCCAAAAAGCGCCAGCTTGTCTGGCGTTACACAAATAAGTACTCAACTTAATAAACATACCTAAACTGAGGGATTTCCTTGTCTGTTTTGTCTAGCATACCAGCAACATCTCCATCAACTTCCTCATTGCCATGAAACGGTGGGTATACTCCGTCGCGACGCCGGTTCTCCCACACTAGGTAAAAACGAGCTGCCCCACATAGAATGATTCCCACGGCGTAGCATATCATAATAGCAAGGAATCCAGTGGTATAGGTAGACGCCTGGTCTTCAAAGAATAGCTGGGGTCCGACAATATTTCCAACACAAAAACTGATTAAAATCTAAAGTTTGGAGTCAGCATCCACTGGCTCCGAACATGCTACTTCCGAAAGTAGTCGTCACAAAAGCGAATTTAGCTCACAGCTGTGTTCACCGTCATCTTCTTAGTAAAACCCGCAACATTACCCGATGACAAGCACATCGTTAGAGGGAAGTTGGCAGCAGCGGCCGTCATGAGTAATTTGCCGGCAAATCGACCCCACATTAGATGAGCTGGAAGCTCACGTATCAGAGCCGTGCCGATAGTGGCGAGACACAGGTTCCACACCATCCAGTAAGTTCTAGTATTGGCGAAATATGAGCTGCCACCGGTGGAAATAAGAACGGCGATCAGCATAGCCAAGTAGCAGGATGCTTGAAGAAGAAGTGAGTTGAAGGTACTGAATCCTAGACCATTGACGACTATGGTGCCGAACTTGGGGTTACTTAGTCTTTGGGTACATTAAGAACATAATATGGAGCGAAGGCAGCTGGCAACTCACAGTGGTTAGGGCACCATTAGGCACCTGGCCAAAAAAGGTTATGGCGCAAAACAACCAGGTTTTAGCATCTAGCAACGCTTCGGTGCACTGCCTCCACTTGAACTCGCTGCTTTTTATCCCGGTCATGTTCATCCTCACGCGAGTCACAGCTTTCAGACGATCCTCGTCGTTCATGAACCAAGCCTGCATAGGAGTATCAGGCATAAGGAAGATGAAAACAAGAGACAAAGCTACCGTTAAACTACCAAACAGTAAGAATATGACCTGCGAAGGTTATCAATTGTCTCTATAATCAAGAGAAATACCATCAAGAGCTTCTTCTTACTTTCCAAGGTGCCATGCTCTGAATATGTCCAAGCCCATACGCGATCAGACCCCCGGTTATACCAGCAAAACTGTTTCCAACGAGCCATGCGGCTTGTCTCAGCGGCTGCTCAGATCGCTTGTACCACATGGCAACAATGACGCTTAGGCCTGGGGCAATGGCTGATTCAGCAGCGCCGAGAAAGAATCGCTCAACCAAGAGTCCCGCAGCACTGTCACAAGCGGCCGTTACTGTCAAGATCACTCCCCATATACATCTGTAGTCTTCCAGTCAGAATTATGACGTCCGTTGAAAGCGGTTCGTGTTACTCTCTCACATTGAGATAGCAACTGTCTTCCCCACATGCCAGCGGATCATCAACATAGCGGCCGGGCATGCAGCAACCATGTAACCGAAGTAGTAGATGCCGCTCGCCCAAGCAAACTCATCACCTCTAAGATGAAGGTCGCCTGGAAGGTCTAGAATGGATGTGAATGAGAGAGCCTGTTTATCTAGAAACTGTAACATGTACGAGATAGACATGAGAGGTAGCAGGCTGTGAGGACACTGTTAGTTAGACAGTGTGCTTCTTCTCGGGGTCTGGGCTGGATTCGCACCAAATATCGATCTTTCGAAGAATCCTTCTGTCTTCCTCCAGGCTGAGTAGATCGGCTGCTGAGCCAGACTTAACGAGACTTTTCTCGGTTTGAACATTGCCAGAGGCTCCTCTCCGGGGTCCGGGCTCTCTATCTCGCTCGGAGGCCATGGTATCATAGTTTTCAGTCGAGAGAATAAGATGGATTGATGGGTAACGACTGCTGCTATCCGGATTGACAAATATATAGAGCAGTATGGCTACTAAACACAGCCAAAAAATGTAACCGTCCACCTGGGAAACTTTTCTCCTTTTTCATTGCGCCACCGAACGTGTTCACGGCTGTGGTCAGCCAGCAAGCCTGTGTACAGGTTACACAATTTATCGGAAGAAGATATATGAACCGGGATATATCCTGGATACTTGGTGTTTCACAAGATCTGTGCGACCTCTCATGGTGGAGAATAAGATTCCGTTCTTTGTTCAACTTCCCCACATACAGACGCCTCCACCCGCGGCCTGGGCTTTCATCAACTCGTCATATGCGCGACATACTATTTATGTTCCGCACGTGTGGCTCAATTAGCCATAGAACACACGTAAATTAATGGTGTGCATTGTAGGATTGACTGCTTTCCCACGCGGCCTGTGCCTTAACGAGTGCTACGTTACATCTCATCCCGACTGTCGTTGCATCTCAGTCAAGCCTTCCGTCCGACGATTCAACAATCAGTGAATCTCCTTTCTCTACGAGCATCATGGCCATATCCTGGCTAGATTCACATGCAGGAGCCCAGGATCTTTGGCATAGAATCTAAATCTCATTGACAATGTCGACGAATGTGTGGGTTCCATTACATTCTCTCTCCTCAGAAAAGGTGGCTCCTTGTCAACATTTTCAATAACGGTTAGTCAGAGAAACCCAAAAATAGGAGATATGATAGCAGACCTACAAGATCTGTACCAACTGTAGAGCATGTCTGGCTTACTGGTCAAAAGTCAATTTGCTCAGTGAGTTTTGCCCGTAACCAGTTCAGGTTGGAGACCCGAGACCCTGTCCAGCTCGGTCACTCCTTTCCATTTTGTCGCAAATACTCAGTGAATTCTCAATTACGATCATAGAGTCAAGCTTTAAGTATCGAGTTCAAAAGTCCATTGGGCGCTATCATAGCAGCCCTCTATATGTGCGTCTAGTCATAATCCATATATACAAAGTCATCAATCCAAATCTATATCACATCACGCCAGCATAATGTACAGTCCAGGGCATCCAGTCCCAGTCTTCCAATTCTAACTGCAAACCTTATCATCTTCTCATGGTGCAGCATCCTCCTTACTAACCCGATGGCCCTGGTTAGCCTTCCGATCCGACGCCAGCGTCTGGGCAAACTTGCTCCTCTCGCGAATCTGCGGCCCCTTCCAGTAGAAGATGTAAATTGGAAGTACCACCAAGCACGAAAGGCAAGCTAGGATAGTAGTAGCATACTCCACATGCCACTTATCACCGATATTCTCATACATCGGGGTGGTATACATGGCCGCAATACCCGCCAACAAATCACGGCAGAAAGCATTACCGCCCGTCGCAGAAGCAGAGTACACACCGTACGCAGCGACCATGTAATCAACCGAGGAAAGGTAGATAGCGTAGTTGGCTATGCCGACAAGGGTGGAGAAGATCATGGATGCGATCCACGGCACACCGTACTCTTGACCCAGAGACGTCCACGCGAAACCGAAGAGCCCTATCGGTTCAAGCAGGGCTAGATAAAGAAGCCACTTAAGTCTCCGCTCAGCAGGTAGTGCATCGTCTCCCTTCGCGTCGCGAATCTTCTGGTCCCGCCAAAACCAAGGGAAGTATGAGAAGTATGCAATAACGTAACCGATGTTGATCGGGATGACGGCCCAGGCCTGGCCGAGGATACCGAAGCCCCAGCCCTTCTCGTACACGATAGAGAAACTCTCCAGGAAAGTGAAAATGAGGGAGTCGGAGAATCCGGATAGGAGGGAGAGACATAGGACGATGGGTTCACGGAGGAACATGTAGAAAGGACGAATCCAGATCTTGCCGGCTTCTTTGAGGGAGATGCGGGGGCTTTTGAGCTCGTTGGGTCCGTAAATATTCGGGTCTTCGCCGGATTCACGGCGGCGCTTGGCTTCGCGGTCCATGATGATAGTCGAGCGGCTTTCCGGGATGAAGAGGAGGATTACCTCGACAACGAAGCCGAAGATCAGCATGATCCAGAAGAACCATTGCCAGTCGAGGTCTGTCAGATGTACAGTTAGTGGTTTGTGGATTATTTTACGGTCGGCTTTTTGAAAATGGGAGAATACGTACAGCGCTCAATCGGTCCACCTATGACACCTCCAATACTTGTTCCGATGCAAGACGATAAGACAATAAATGCCAGAGGAAACTGCTGGTCTTCGGCCTCGTAGAGATCAGCAATAAGACCTAGGGTGACACTACCGCCCGCGGTCGAGATTCCACCCTACAGACATGTTAGCATGACATAGTGTACATTCCAGACGCAGGGAACTGACCAATCCACGAGCAACAACAATAGTGCCCCAATTCGGCGCCAAGGCAGCTGGAATTTGCCAGATATTGATAAGAAACATGGAAAGCTGGAGGATAGGCCAGCGACCAAATTCTTCACTCCAAGGCGCCCATAGTTCACATCCAATGGAATAGGTGATCAGGTAAATCATCTGCCCCGTCCGGGCTTCCTGCTCCCCAATATTGAATGCCTCTGACAACGGCTTGACAGCATTTGGAAACACGGAGGTGTTAAAGTTCATGGATATTTGGACGCATGCTATGGCCGCAAGATACGACCATTTCTTCCATCTCGGCCAGCAGTAAGCCAGCTTATCGTAGCAGTCGTTCTCCTTCAACTCGCGTCTTCCGTCTGAGCGTATGGACCCAGTTTCTTTCTCGGCTCCAGTGAGCCCAAATGCGGGGACAATATCATCCCCGCTATCCTGGCTGTCTTTCCCCTTATCGGAAAAGGAACTGCGAGATGACTGGGTCTGGGGTTGCTGTTCGTGGGGATACATAGTGTGATGTCATTAATTGATACTATCACACAGGAACAGGCAAAGATAAGAAACTATTCCTCTCTTAGAGTGGTCTGACATGGCTGGATACCCTGCCGGTCGTCTGATAGATATACCATCCTGCCTCAATCATTCATTCTAGATGTTGTCATACTGGAGCAGTTCGTTTCCAAACCGGATTTGGGATTTTGGGGTTACAGTGGGGCGGGCCGGGCAGATCCACCTGTGGATCATCGCCGGGGAGAAGTTCATACGCGCCCAATCAAAACATCGGCACTCGACTCACGATGCACCCTCGGGCTCACTTTTGATTTGTCTCTATGGCTTCCGGAGGTCCGGCTGCTCCATACCGATGCACCTAACTCGGAGTAACACACTGCCCGATATCCACCGTAAGCACAGAGCACCCGGTATGATATCATCGTTGTGGTTCTGCATTGCGAAGAAACGAACCTTCGCCACACATCCATTCTTTCTTCCTCGTGCATTCACCACTCATATTTGACTTGTTGCCTAGCAGAATAGTGTCGAACCTCGGTCTCTCGGGATGCATAAGGAAATAGCAGCACGGAATGACGTGTCCTAGTAATGTGGCTGATATTTCTCCAGGTACCATGCATAATGACGCTCCTTGCATCCCCTTCGGTCTGCTAATGTTCATTCGGATAAATTCTCCTTAATGTGCTGTTGTCGGTTATGCTCTTTCGACCAGTGCATGTCAATTCAAGTGCATCTCAACCTGGAATGATGTCATAGTACCTGTGTCTTCAATGAGTGACAGACACTACAACACTCATTCTTCTTGAACATCACTAACAAAATTGACACATCTCGGTCATTACTCGGACTGCTATTCTCCTGCTTAGGCGATATCATGCTGAGCGACAAGTAATCCTTAAATCCAACGCAACGAACTTCACTCTCGATGGGATCTTATACTGCATCTCTAGAAGATGATCATTCGTTGTAGGGGAGCGATAATCTTGATAGATTAGACCCACATTCCTGCATAAAGACCATAGCTTGTCGTGAAGAGATACATTCAGCACAACTATGAGAAAATGCCAAAAATTATTCAGATTTCTATTGACAAGAAGTTCAGAAGTTATCTTAGAAAAAATGAAAAGAAGAACAAAAAGAAATGAAATACCGAGTGCCAACATCTACTTCTGCTACCTCCATCATCAGAACAAGCTGTCACACCGGCTAGACTTTTACCGCGCCATCTGCCTCACAAAAACGACTCTCCTTAGAGGCTTTACTAGTAGTCTTCGACCACTCCCGCTAAGGTTTTTCTCAATACCCTTAGTCATGACTTCAGGCTACAAACACAAGGGTTCAATAATAACATCATCGAACAACACCACGCTACAGTTGACAGACGTAGCAGAGGAAACATAAGGCAGATGTTCAGAAAAAAAATACTAGAAGCATCTTTTCAATGACAGCATAATACAATTATGGTCAAAGTTTGACACACAAGCTATATACTAGGGGTTGTGTATTTTAATAGTTATGTTCAGACCTGCCAGACAACTTGATTCTCCTTACTAAGCATTTATTACTAAGCACAGTGACAGGGAACATCTGCAATGAGAATTACACGCTGATAAACTTTCTATGTACGGTATACAATAACTTTTGCATTCCTTCTAAACGCAATCATACTGCTTACAAAGGTTGCAAGTTGTCGTCGCATTTATTATGGCCTCCAGTGCAGGGCGTTGTTATATCAAAGCTCCCTCAATTCCGTTTACCAAGTACTCGCCGATTCCTTCTCTCCAAGATAGATAAAGTCACTTTAAACTCATCGAACCAGGATATACACCGTGAACTCAGGCCCCCTCGGGGTTCAGTTTATAGCCCCAATCAACGTCCCATTCCACTTCCGAAGATACTGCCTCTGGGCCTGAAAATAGTAAAGTTTTCGATAGCTCTCGTATATACGGTGAGTCACCGGCTCTAAGCGGCCTTTAGCGGGTTTTACGAGCGTCAACCCCACTGACCAGCTATTTATGAGCTTGTTAAACCCCGCATCAAGTAGTTCCGTTATGGCATATTTGCCCGAGCATAAGCACATATATAAGGGTTATCCCTTCCAGTAAGCCAGA